TGTCCAATGTGAGGCCACTTGCCACGTGAGCTGTTGAGCACTTGAAATGTTGCTAATCCATAGTTGAGGTAGGCTGTGAGTGTGACAAATACACACAAGATTTTAAAGATTTAACAAGCTCATTACTATTTTTATATTAACTACACATTGAAAGAACATCATTATGAATACAGTGGATTAATAATGCATTATTAAAATTAACTTCATATTTCTTTTTACTTTTTAAATGTGTTAATGGAAATTTTTTAATTACAAATGTAGTTTGCACTATATTTCTATTGGGTAGTGATGATCTAGATGAGGCACCCAAATATCTGAAATAGAGGGAAAGGTCTAATTATCCACACTGGGAAAGCAGCCTAGACACAGAGGTGACTAAATGCTCACCCCACAAGACAGTTTGATAAGAACTAAATAAAATGTAAGACAGAGTCAACTTTGACACTTTTTGCCAGGAAAAATGAAAATAGAATTATAGTACCTGAGTAGAATTTGGCTTTCTTTGCTTTTAAGTACCTACAAAATGTTCAGATAATACCCTTTTCACCTCTCAAGTGACCTTTTAATTACAAAACATTTCAATTTTTTTGAAAGGCAATTTCTGGTAAAGGCATAAATAAACTGACTTCAAAGTTTATTCAATAAGTCCACCAATATATACTATGTCATTACCTACCATTTCCAGCTTACCATTGAGTCAATGATACAGAAGATGACTACCTAAGAAGACTGCTGTGTGGCCTAAAACACCTTCAATGCAAAGCTACAGTATACAGTTTAACTATCTGTCTAAATCTAAAACGAAGGTAACACTTGGGTGGAGCATCCCATCCCTAGGGAAAAGACTATAGATATACTTTTGTCTTTATTCAAATTCTTTGCTCTGGCCAGTGTGGCTCAGTTGATTGAGTGTCTTCCCATGCACTGAGAGGCCAAGGGTTCAATTCCAGATCAAAGCACATGCCCAGGTTGCAGGCTCCATCCTCAGTAGGTTTCTTAATCCTCACCCAAGGATATTTTTTCCATTGATTTTTTAGAAAGAGTGGAAGGGACAGAGAGAGGGGGAGAGACAGAGGGAATGGAGAGGAGTTGGGGGTGGGGAGGGATGAGGGAGAGAAACATCGATGTGAAAGAGACACATCATATCTCCTACACGTACCCCAACCAGTAGGGGATGTGCATGAGGCAGCCAAAAGAGGTTTCTCTCTCATTGATGTTTCTCTCTCTCCCCCTTCCTTCCTCTCTCTAAAATCAATAAAAACATTTTTTAATTAATTCTTAAGCCTGCATCAACAAGTTTTAATTTTCCACATAAGCATGTGTTAATTATTTCCTCTATTTATTTTTTCTTAATCCTCACCCAAGGATATTTTTTCCATTGATTTTTAGAAAGAGTGGAAGGGACAGAGGGAGGGGGAGAGACAGGGGGAATGGAGAGGAGTTGGGGGGGGGCGGGGGGGGGAGAGAAACACTGATGTGAAAGAGACACACCATATCTCCCACACATACCCCAACCAGGACTGGGGATCGAAGCTGGGACCCTTCGGTGTGTGGGCTGACTCTCTAACCACTGATCCACACTGGCCAGGACTATGTTATTTTAATAGTATTTTAAAATATTCTTTTGGATGAAATCTCAATCATAACCTTGGCTAAAAATCTGGAAAAGAAGTGAGCATTAGGGCAAAGAAGTATCATAAATAAAAGAGTTTGTCCTTCAGAAGTACAGAGGGAAGGTAAGTGTTTAGGAATGTGTAAGGCAATTCCTTTCCCAAAACCTCACCCTAACTCACTAAATCAGCCCAGCTGATTACAATACTGCAGAGCCCACCCGAACATCTTTTCGTACTCTCTCAACCTAAAGAGAGAAAGTGAAAATGACATCATTCACACACAAAGGGAAATCAGCCCCTCTGCAGTCTCCAGGTGCGCTTCCAGCCAGAGTTCCCACTTACACAGACCAGCCACAAAACCCTCTGGCCAGCACAAAGCTAGAGCTTACTCGTGAGAAAGCTGGAAGGTAACTGCAAACGTCTGAGGTTTTCAACTTTTATTTTCTATTCTAGCAGCTTTTCTCTCACATCCTCTTTCAAACATCCAATGCAAGAAATTATGAGTGCCTCACATTTGCCTTAGTTTACCATGAACCTAGGCACGGTCAACAATACAAGGAAGAAAAGCCAAAATGTTTTGTTTTCCATCTTCCTGGGTGAAAGAGAAAACACAACAGGGACAGGCAGTCACCGGACTGGAAAGGAGTGCTCTAACTGGGCAAAGGCAAAGTAATAAAAATGTCTGGAGACATTTGGCCGTGTAGTGTTCAAAACCTTTTAAAAGCCCCTACCTTTGGCCTAGCAGTGCCCTATCAGGGAATGTCTCCTTAAAAGATAATGATGAAGGATTTTGTACAGAAATGTCCACTGCACAGTCCAATGTTTCAGTAATGAAAACTCAGAAATAACCTCTACATCCAAAAATGAGAATTTCCACTAGGAACTATGAAGCATCCTTTTAAAAGCAAATATTTAACATGAGAAAACAGTCACACTATGTTAAATTAAAGCATGTTACAAAACATTATGTATACAATGATGTCATGGATATTTTTTAAGTCTTTTTACATTTGTGTAAAGGGGGGGAAGACTGAAAATATATACAGTAATTTTAACACTGGTTATCTTTAGATGTGGCAGTACACAATTTTTATTTTTTTCCTACATTTCTCTATTTTCTGCTCTATTCTAACAACAAACGCAAACTGTACAATATTCCTTTAAAATTAAAACTCCTTTGATAATAAGAACAACTTGTTGGGGAATTTTCTACAACTAATTACGATGTGTATTCAACTGAAATAACTGATAAAGTAACCATGATATTCAGTTCCTCTTTCCTTTAAAATTCTTGGGATAGTTTAAAATGGTGGCAAACAAGCAAATACATCTACCAAATACAGTCTGCTACAAATAAGTCTAAACAAACCCCTGGAACAAAGCACCTTGACATCTGTAACTATACAAAAACCAATCTACAATTCAAGCGATCAGATGTTAAGGGAGGGTGGCGGCAGAAGAGTTTATGGGGGTATAAATGGTCATGGGGAGGGGGGGAATGAATGAATGAATGAATGAATGAATAAATAAGATGTGAAGGAAAATAAAATAAAGTCACTGGGAAACTGCTGCACTGTGGTCTAAGTGCAAGGCCATCTTCTAGGGAACAGGCCTGTTCCTTCACACCACAGATGAGAACAAGCCTGGAAGCCCAAGTTGGGTAACTTCATAAAAATCAGAGTGACAAACCATTTAGGAGGTTTTTGATATGCTGTTTAATTTTTATTATCTGTAATGTAATTAGGAATTTTAAGTGTGGCTTGCAACTGACCCTTGATAGAATGCTAATAAATTTGCCTATATTTTAAGTTTAATGAAAGATATATTTACTCTTTAAAAACAGCACAAAATAAGTCATAATTTCCCTTTACCTTAAAAAAATTGTTATCAACTAAACTTCAAGTTCATCAATCAATTACAAATATTTACTGAAGGTCTACCATGTGCCAAGCACTGTTCTAGATGCTTGGGATGAGTTAGTGAACAAACTTTTCTAATACATCTTTAAATAAACTCTCAATTATACATTTTTAAAAAATCGTTACATGACATTTCAACAGCAACCTTTGGAAAACTAAGGATGAGGGTTTTTTTTAACACGTAACTTTTTTTAAAACAATGCTTTAAAAGTCTTACACTGAAGTTGTCTGATTATAATCTTAATGTGCAAACTGGGTTTCAAATGTACTATAAACAAAACGCGTTAGTTTGAAGAGGATAATACAGTTCCACAACAGAGGTTGAGAAAAAGCAAAAATTGCTACAAGCAAAGCATATTATCACAGCCCAATAGGGAAATTCAATGATAAAATGCCAAAGCCCATCCAGCAGAAGAAAAGGCCCTTTGGGAATCTCCACTAAGCCTTCTCCCTTGTCCGTACAAGGTTCCCTCGCAGACATCAAATACTCCCAACAATAGAGCATCTCGGCTTACAATCATTCATAAAAACAGTATCCCCGTCTCTAGGAATGCCTACGCATCGAATTTCAAATAACAGATAGGCTCTCCTTATAACCTTCCCTCGCAGAGTGAATGACTTCTAGCTTTCCCCCCAAGAAACCTACAATGAGAGACAGGACAGAAACCCTCTGTGGATCCACCTTACATAACAGGTTCTGCGAGAGACGCTTCCGTACACCGTTAGCCGGGAGCTCAGGATCCCACTCCGTTCTCCGATAAGGAACCAGAGGCCACGAGCGCGGTGACGAGGGGAAGCCAGAGAGCACCAGAGTTCAGCACAGATCTAACTGCGGCCGCATTGGCCTGTAATTCTGAAGTAACTGCCCAGCTGGGTTTCTGGATCTAAAGCACTACCCCAAGATGAAGTCAAATCGCATGTTAAAATAAGGTGAGAGAGAGAAGTCTCCAGGGAGCATCCCTGAAAGGCTGTATGTAGTGCAGGGACAAAACCTCAGGCCACTCGGCGGAGACACACCGCCCAGCGTCCTCCCCAAGACATGGGTCAGCCAGCGTGTCTCTGATCGAAACATCGACTGTTGGAGTGAAGCCCGCCTAATTCCTGGGAGAAAAGGAACGCCTTGAGGAGTGAGGCTGGACGAAGACTGGGACCCATTTTACTAGCGCCCGGCTTTGCCTCATCCGCTTCCAGGGGCTCGGACGCGCGGACCCAGGCCTGGCGGCGGGTCGCCCTCGGAGCCCTAACAGCAGGTCCAGCGGAGGCAAGCGCCAAGCAACCAGGTCGCCCCGTAACAGGCAGCTGTCGAAAATGTGTCGCCTGCACCCCAAGCTGCTGGAACCATTTTCCCTCACTGCACAGAGGGCCAACTTCGGGGCTCGGTACGGCGGCTCCTCCCCGCCCTGGGGCCGCGTTCACACCCTGGGGCGCCCCTCGCCGGCCCCCGGGGTCCCCGCGCCCCACCGCTCACCTCCAGGCGCAGGGAGGCCCCGCAGCCTCGCAGAAACTCGCGGATGTTGCTCAGGCACTCGCTCTCGCTGCGCGGCTCCGGGTAGACCTGCAACACAGAGCACAGCCGCTCAGCACAGACGCGCAGTTCCGCGGGGGGCCGCGCCCGCGCCCGCGCCCCCGGGCCAACCCGCGGCGGCCCCGGCGGAAGCTTCCGGCGGGCGGATCCGGGCGGGAGAACCCCGCGGCCCAGAGCGCCCCCGGCCGCCCCCCGCCGCTCGCCGGCAGCGCTGCCTCTCCTCACCCTCTTTCCTTCCTCCGGGCTGCACCAATCTCAGGCCCCTTCCCTCACCAGGAACTGGACCCGGCGCCGGAAGTGACGTATTCAGACCGCGCCCCGGGCGGCCCCCCGCGCGCCCTCTTCCGGTCCTCACTTCGGCCGCCCACCTGGCCCCACGCGAGGCCTCCTCTTCTCGCTATCTGGTCCTCATCCTCCGACTCGGCCCACCTGGCCCGGCCCAGGCGCAGCCTCTTCCTCCTCCCGGCACCTGGTCCTCATCCTCCGACTCGGCCCACCTGGCCCGGCCCTCCTCCTCCTCCCGGCACCTGGTCCTCGGACTCGGCCCACCTGGCCCGGCCCACGCGCACCCTCCTCCTCCTCCCGGCACCTGGTCCTCATCCTCGGACTCGGCCCACCTGGCCCGGCCCGCGCGCGCCCTCCTCCCGGCACCTGGTGCTCCACTTCAGACACGGCCCACCTGGCCCGGCCCACGCGCGCCCTCCTCCCGGCACCTGGTGCTCCACGTCAGACACGACCCCCTTGGACAGGCTGCCCCGTCCAGAGGAACGCGGGTGAGCTCGGCCTCGGTGGCTTGAGCAACCCCAAAGGGGCTGTAAAGAACCCAGTGTTTCTTCAGTTCTTCCCCACCTTGGGCTCGGGGGAGGGTGGAGTTAGCATTTTAATACGATGGTTTAAAGTAATTAGCAACATAAATTATGCATGTTGGAATTACAGTGCAACGTTTCTTTTCCCAAATACAGACCATGTGCTTCATGAATGATTAACGAAAATAGTCAGCGAGTAAGTCAGCTGGAGAGAAACTGGCCAGTGCAGCCTCCACCACAGGTGAAGCGGAGGAGGGCTCTGCAGACTGCCTGGTGCTTGGTCCCAGGCAGAACTGTGAGGGCCACGGCTCACACGCGTAAATAATCATGGACAGCCTCCCAGGGCCAGAGACATGAGGGAAACCAGGAACAGTACCAGTTACACAGAAAATCGAGGGGAAAGCCGGAGACATCAGAAGCGCTTTTTGTTGTGTTGTTCTGAACTGTATATGAAGACTTTAAGTTTTGGCAGTTACACCAAGTCGTCATCCAGATTTCTAGCATTTTTGAGGACATTCAAGGCCTTTTTGTACTGTCCTCTAGGGGGAAATTAGGACATTACATCAGGTCTCTCTAAGGAATACTGTGGTTTCATTTCAAAATGCTCAGGTCTTTTACAATTAGAAATCAAAACAAAATCAGCATCTTGAGAGGTGTGAAGAGGGAGGAAATGTGACTTTTCTGCTCCTATAATTTAAAAATTCTTCAAAGAAAGTGCCAACGTATTTCCCTCCCAATTTGAACAGATTTGTTTTGTTTTTGTAGACGGCAGAGAAGAACATCAAAACCAAAGCTCCCTCCTAGTTTTTGCTCCTTCCTAAAAAATTTTTGAAAATCTATGTTCCAAATGTGTAGTTAACATCTAAAATCTTCATAATGTTAAATAGTTGCAAAGTATTAACTTCTGACATCCTGATAACATTTTAAAACTAAACTGTTAGACATTCTTTATATACATACTAGAGGTCTGGTGCACGAGATTCCATGCACTGGAGGAGGGAGAGGAGGTCCCTCAGCCGGGCCTGCGCCCTCTTACAATCTGGGACCCCTCGGGGGATGTCAGACATCCCTCTCGCAGTTCAGGACCCCTGGCTCCTTACCGCCTGCCTGCAGCGCAAGCACGAGAGGCTCCCGCCACTACCACTGCGCTCACCAGCCATGAGCCTGGCTTCTGGCTGAGCGGCACTCCCCCTGTGGGAGTGCATTGACCACCAGGGGGCAGCTCCTGAGTTGAGCGTCTGCCCCCTGGTGGTCAGTGAGTGTCATAGCAATTGGTTGTTCCGCTGTTCGGTTGATTTGCATATTAGGCTTTTATTATATAGAATGACTCTACATACAAGATATAATACCCATCCTCTATCTAGAAAAAATGAACATGCTCTTTAAAAGTCAGAAATTTCACATTAATTTCTTTCTCCTTTAATTCATTTCCTTCCCACTTTATCCACAAAATTGTATTCTAAAATTATATTTGTGTTTGAAAATGTTATTGATCACACAGTTTTTGCAAGAGACCCATACAAATACAGTTGGTCTCATTCACTGATTCTATTTGCAAATTTGTCTACTAGATAAAATGTATGCGTAACCCCAAAATCAGTACTTGCCACACTTTCTCAGTCATTATGGACATGTACATAGAAGTGAAAAATTTGAATTGCCTTATGCACACATCTCCAGCTAAACCTGAACCAAGGCCATGCTTTGCACCATCTTGTTTTAGCTCATAATATATGCAAATGTCCTTTCACAATCTACTAGTGTCACATTTTTGCTGATTTCACTGTTTTAAATGGCCCCCAAGAATAGTAAAGCACTGCCTAGGGTTCCTAAGCACAAGAAGTCTGTAATGTGTCTTAGAGAGAAAATATGTGTTAGATAAGCTTCATTCAGGCCTGAGTTATAGTACTATTGGCCATGAATTCAATGTTAATGAATCAATAAAACAATATAGCCATAAAAAGAGGAGATTTGCAGATCTGTACGTGAGGCTGTTCCAGAAAGTGCTAAAAACAAGTGTGTGATGCAGCAATGGAAAAGCAGCTAAATTTGTGGATTCGTGAGATGACAACCAATAAAAAGAGTGTAGTGGACAGCTTTGTTATGAGGCTAAAGGCCAAAGAAATTTACAGTCACGTTACCCAGGGTGAAGAAAATATCAAACCTTTCTCAGCTAGTGCAAGTTGGCTTGCAGGTTTCAAAAGGTGATAGATATCACATGAAAAAGTGTTAAATTTGCAGGCAAAGCAGTTCCTACAGATCAGGAGGCTGCAGAAGAATTTTTTAAAATATCTGCTAAGCATTATACATGAAAAGGGTTATATGGAAGAGCAGATTTCAATGCTGATGGGACAGGCTTGTTCTACAAGAATGTTGGCAAATGAACCTATGCAATGCAAATGGCTTCCAACCCCCCTGGCTTTAAATCCTTCGAAGACCGTGCAACCTTGCTATTGCGTGCCAATGTCAAGAGTGACTTTAAGTGCAAACCAATAATGGTACACAGAGCACAAAACCCAATAGCACTTAGAGGAGAAAAACCTGGACCTTATGCCAGTCCATTGGAAGTGGAACAAAAAAGCATGGATGGAGTCCGAAATATTCTGGGATTGGTTCCACAACTGCTTCATCCCAGAAGCGGAATGCTAGCTCCATGGCAAAAACCTTGCCTTCAGGGTTTTGTTAATTTTGGATAATGTTCCAGTCCATTGTCATTGAAAAACTCAAAAATGCCCACCCTGACACAGAAGTTCTCTTCATGTCCCCCAAATACTGCACCTCTCATCCAACCTCTCACTCAGCACAAAAATAGCGTTTAGCATTTGCTTTATAGCAAGGAATTATAGATGCAGTTCACACCCAGAGAAGAGTGGAAACACCAAGCTCCTTCCCTGGAAACTACTCAACATCTCAGCATCATGCCGCCATAGCTGTGAACTGTGTAAGCGTTTGTGCTTTATTCTGATTTATTTTATGCATCCATTAGCAAGATGTGTCCTAAGGTAATGGCTTCTTCACTTGATGCACTACAGCTGACAAAAGTTTTCAGAGGAATGCTCTACTTTCCCATAGCAGAGGAAACCTGTATGTTGAAATGAAATGAGTTTTATGATGTAACTTGATTCTTTGAAGCCTTCTGAGTTACACAGCCAAAGTCCAGATATAATCTATCATAAATAAATTTTAAAATCATCAGTTAACAGTTTGATTAGAGTCCCCTGCAATTCTGTGAAAGCTAAGAAGTAGAAATCCCTGAGCTGCAATACCAAGCATTAGTTATTCACTTCTAATAAACTCTAGGCTTTTCCATCAGGAACTCTAATCAGGCCGAGGCAGTCCCAAAATTACTGTAATTTTCCTTTCAAATATGGCTTTTGTACTTAATATTTTATAAAGGGTATGTCTGATGTTAAGAATTTGTTACAAAACTAAATTCTGAAGCAATATTAAGGTCAGACTTCAGCGACCTCCACAGCTGTCCAGTTTCCTCTACTCTTCTCTGCTACCCACACCACGCCAAGACCAACCAGCTCCACCCTCAGTCCACACAAAGCACCAACTAAGGCAGCTGCCTTCTCTCTGACTCTGAAAGTGTTTAGAAAGTCTTAAGTGTAGAGAGAGAAAGTGCATGAGAAAAGAGAATAGGCAGTTCTCCGTGGTAACAAGTTCAGTGTTACCACAACTCAGATCAAGAGTATAGAAAACTCAGACAGCATATACTATCTGGGAAACACTTAATTCCCCAGGACCCTAGTTCTCACAGATTCTGATTGAGTAGGTCTGAAATACACCCCAGAAGTCGTGTGTGTGTGTGTGTGTGTGTGTGTGTGTGTGTGTGTGTGTGTTTGAAATTCCCCATCTGGCTGATTTGCTGGACACATGCATCAATATCACCTGGACTAACAGATTATTAGGACCTGCCACAGAGTTTAAACTCTAAGTTTGGGGTGAAATTTCTGACAAGGTCCCAAAGATGCTGATGGTACCGGGACCATATTTAGGGAACTAGTAGTATAAGTAGGCAGCTATTCAAGAAATGTTCTGTTTTTTCCCCCATTGGAAAAACAAGTTCCCAACTACAGAACAAAGGTCCCCCCAGGTCTCTGCCACCAACAACAGCCTCATCACTCCAACTACAAAGAATTGCCTCCTCTGAATACCTGTGGTTCTGTCTGCAGCCCCCACCATGTAGCTGGACCTACTGGTGAATGTCTTACCTTACCCTGTTAGACATAAACTCCCAGAGTGCAGGGGCCCACAGCATGTCCTGTTAAATAGTCAGCAAATATGACTAAACTAGAGGTCCAATGCACGAAATTCATGCAAGAGTGGGCCTTCCTTCCCCCGGCTGCCGGCACCAGC